ACAGAAGCTCCGTCTGTGATTGGGCCAAAATCAGCCAGTCGTCCAGATAATTCAATATGCGCAGCCCCTGGCTCCGCAGGGGGGCGAGCGCCGTATCCATGCACTTCGTAAATGTGCGGGGCGCCAGAGATAAGCCGAACGGGAGAACGGCATATTGATAAACATGACCCTCGAAGGCGAAACGTAAGAATGGCCTGTGACGGGGATTTATCTGGATCTGAAAATAGGCGTCTTTCAGGTCTAGAGAGATGAACCAGTCCCCCTGGCGCACCTGCGCGAGGAGTTTCCTGGTAGTGAGCATCTTGAACGGTCTCTTCATGAGCACTTTGTTCAAAGACCTGAGATCTAAAATCGGTCTGAGGCCGCCGTCTTTCTTGGGAACCAGAAAATAACGGCCGTAAAACCCCGACTCGGTCATAGATGGTGGGACTCTCTCTATAGCGCCCTTTTGCAACAGCGTCGCAATTTCTGAGCGGAGCGTGCCGGCGGCCAGCGGGCTGACAGTAGATTCGAGAGGGGACACGCGCACGAGCTCGTGGGCGTGTTTATGTTCTCTGATATTAGAGCGGGCTGTGCCCGTTTCATGTGATGGGGCTCTGATAGAGACACGGGGTATGTTATGCTTGTGTGTATGGGTGAGCACATGATTGTGGGCACATTTTCTACACAACTGGCAAATTTTCTCTTTTTGAGATTTCTCTGGGTAGCCGTAAAAACGGCTTTTTGTCGCTCGCAAGCGGGCTGGGACACCGGCTTGTTTGTGGCGGTCAACACTACAGCAGTCGGCGAAATAACGGGGACTGGCAGAGGGCGGAGCTTTGACGGCGGTCCGGCCGCAGCGGGAGAGCACCGTCGTTTTCTTGACTTTGCTAGGCAGACTTCTGATGATCAGGCTTCAGCGTGATCTTAGGTCGCGGGCCACGTGGGGGCGGCGGTCTGCGGCGGCTGTCAGAGCGAGAGCGAGGGCGGCCGCCCTGTCTGCGCTGGGCTGTTTGAGTCTGCGGAGGGGGGCGCTGTGGTGGAGCTCTGGCAGGAGGCTCGCGAGAGCGGCCCGCGGAAGAGCTAGCGCGGCGGGGCAGAAACAAATTCATCGCCTGAGTAGCTTTCTGGACCTCAGAAAAGCGATCGACAATTCCCGTGACAGCAGATCCAAAAAGGCCCGTCGGGGAGAGGGGCGCGTTAAGAAACGCGGCGCGCTCAGAATCTCCCATGTCGGCGAGCGTGAGCCATAAGTGTCTCTCGGCAACACAAAGGCTGGCCATGCATCTCCCCAGAGCTTGTGCGGCGGCTTTAGTGGCGCGAAGGGCGAGGTCCGTAGCACTTCTCAGATCCGTGACAGCGGGGGAGGGGTTTCTACCGCCTTCGGCCCACTCACGGAGAATATCGCTCTGTAATACTTGGAGGACAGACATCGAATGTAGCGCTGCGGCGGCCTGACCGGCGGCGGCGTAGGCGCGAGCATGAAAGCTCGAGGTCGCTCTGCAAGCTTTCGAAGGAAGCGTGGGGGAAGAGCGCCATCTAGCAGAGGGCGGGCAGAGGTGTGCGGTGACCAAGTCCTCGACGGGCGGCATGGCTGAGTAGCCTTTCTCGGCGGCTCCGTCCACCGAGCGCAGCGAGGCGGATATATCAGAGCGGTTTCTAGCCGAGAGCGGGGCATTCCAGGACTTCGTCAGCTCTGCGTGAAGTTCAGGCAGGAATGGAGCGGCCCGGTTGCACGCGGGGGTCGAGCGCCGATGAAAAAAGCTGCCGTCCATCCGGTTCGGGGCCTGCTCGGGTGGAGGAGACCACTCGAGACCGAGGCGTTCGACGGCCTGTGAGAGGAGGCGCATTAGTTCCTCCTCTATCCCGGCGCGGATCCCCGCCGATTCTCTCGTGGATCCGAGAGATGACCATTCTTCACTGTCAGAAGCGAGCAGTGAACAGGAGTCCTTCTCCTCCGCGGCGTCATCGGAAGCGACAGAGCGGCCACTCGGCGGCAACTGTATGTCCGGCAGGGGCGGGGAGGGAGAGTGGGAAGCGGGAGGCGGCGGTGGCGGCCCGCATTGTTCCGCTGGGGGCTCCGGCGGCCTCTGGGAGCGGCGTTTTTTCTTACGCGGCGAAGAGGAAGGCGGCGCGGGAGCGGATTTTGCTGCCAGAAGTCGTGCCCGCAGGGACGACAACGGCAGGCTCTCACAGAAGTCGCATCCTCCATCCGCGAGGGCGAGTTCTGCGTGCTCGAGTCCCAGGCAGAGAGCGCAGATGACATGGCGGTCTCCGTCCTCGAGACGAGCGCGGCAAGAGCCGCAGGAAAAACGAGACATCTTTAAAAAGACGCTCGGCTCTTTTAGATATAATAGAGAAGGATACAGTCGTCGGATGGCGCTAGCTTGCAGGGCGGCTGAAGGTGGCGAAGACGGCCGGCTTCTTCAGGGTCCGGGAGCTCGCTAGAGTGATGCCTTCTCGACGGCGACGGCTTTTCTCAGGACAGCAGAAGCGTGCAGCTTGCTGAAGATGAAATGAATCAACATATAAGCCTGGGAGAGACTGTTATATACACCATGGCCACGCCCATTCTGGCGGGCCATGACGCAATGAGCGCGCGGGCGCCTCTCATTGGAAGCGGGTTCAGCCCCGCTCTCCCATAGGCTTAAGCAGTTCTCTCTGAGCGAACCAATGAGCTGCTAGCTAGCCTGCTCTAGGTCTGCCGCAGAGGAACTGCGTTGTGTATGGATACAAATTATGAAATAATTTTTGCCTTCAATATCTCAGCAAAGATGAATCTTTCCCGCAGCGTAAGCTAGCTTACGCAATACGAGATAACCTCTCGTAAGAGAACGCTGTATTCTGCTGCCAGTACATGGCGATGTCACTGTGTAAAGAAACACTACACACTCATAGACTGAACACATAATATTTTCACACATTTACGTTTTTGTAGTTTACATGGAGATGATGACTTAGCCTACTGTTCTCAAAAAATATTTTCAATAGTTTTCAATCTAATATGAATTTGATCTATCTAACTGGATCTAATCAAGTCTTCCAGGGAAGTTCGTATGTACAAATTGGGAAGTCATAATTACAACATCTGGTGTGTTTGAGTCAAGATCTTCAGCACAGGTTTTTTACTTCTATAACATGATGAATAAAGAATGCGCAACAGGTGTGTGTTTTTGTAAAGGTTTAGGCTATTCAACTTATGATGGTGCTGTAAATTAAATCGCTATGTAGCCTATCGTAATTGTACAATCGTATGTGTTCATGCACAGTTATATTGTAAATGGGAAAAAAAATATTTTATTAATTTCAACAAATTTACTAGTATAGCCCAGAGCCATAGAGAGAAAGAGTTGCGACACGCTTTGATGTCGCCGCGACGGCTGTCATGTAAGCCCCAATAGTTCCAAAACATACGCGGGCTGTCATGTTCTTCTATGGACAGACAGCAGCGATTGCATTATTAAACGGTAAATATAAAATAAAACACACACCCAAGTACTTTTTCAGCTGTTATTGCATTTTGTTAATGTCAGTTTTGCATTTGGAGAGGCAGGGTGACAACTTAGATAAGTTTATAGGCTATATTTTTGGAGGGAAACGCTATAGTGTTCATGTTCGCATGGGTAGTATGTTAGCACTGGCTTTAGCGGCTCTAACTTAACTTTTCTATGTCATTCATCTGATGATGGACGTCTCATGATATTTATTTTAGCACAACTGGGCTGTATTAGGCTATTGATTCCCGTGATCTTGCTTATAAATTCCGATTCAGCCATTAGCCTACCTTCGTGATCACGCAGAGGTCTGCAGTCCGATCAGAACTCCAACCAACATAAAATATAAATAATTACGCTGTGCATGTACAAATGAATGATTTAGGAGGGAAATAGACTGCTCCCATAACGTAGAAAGCAACGACTATATACAGCAATGTTCGGTAAATATTCAACCAAAAAATATTCTTCATAAAATTAAACCGGAGAGATAGTTAATGAGTAAATTAACTATGTTCCTAAATACATATAAGCACATATATGCATAACCCTAACCCATTTAAATAAATTAATTGTGTGTGTGTGTATGTATATATAATATTATATATAGGATATATATATATATATATATATATATATATAAAATATTATTAAAAATATTATATATTATATACATCAGTTACCGTAAGTTAGCTAACGTTAGTGAAGTGTTGGTCACGTAAGCTATAGCTGCAATTAACCTATTATCTTCCAATAAACATTTACTAAAACTGGCTACATAAAATATAACTACAGACTAGATTCACGAGAGGCCGGCTAATGTGTGTAAAAGTAAAAAAATACAATAATTTCATTAATTTACCAGCGAGCGTACTTCGGAAGCACTGCAAATGAATGGGGTTCAATGGAGAAACTATCAGTGTTTGGAACTATTGGCCGCTCCACGACACGCGTTACTTCCGCATTCCAAAGTTCCTATGGCGGTCTATGGGAGTGTCGCAACTCTTTCTCTCTATGGTTCTGGTATAGCCTAGATGCTGCATCTATTGCAGACGCCATATTGTCTCACTGACATGCCACCAACTCAGAAACACAGTAGGCCTACCTAAAGAAAGTTGAGTTTCCCACTTAGTTTGCAGTGGTATTCATGTGCGTTCAGCTCTTTCCAACATGACTTGAAAGCAGCATTAGGTTGTTTTGTTAATATGAGATTAATAGAAGTCTGACATCATGCAAGTGCAAATGATGACACCTAATCCTCTGTACAACATGCACTAAAAGTCTTCTTAATACTGGGCAATTACTGTAGAAATGTTTAGTTTGCATTCACAGAAAGTGACTTTCAAACACCGGTCTCATACCTGATAGTGCGAGCAGTTTATATCCCTCCGCCTAATTGATCATTCACCTGACCTCATCACATACACGCGCCCCTCCGCGTGTGTTCCTCCGCGCTCCGGGACAGCGACGCCCACTCGACCGACACGCGCGCTCAGCTGCCGGTTCATCTGATGCGTGCATAGAGCAGACATGGGCTCGTTTGGAGAGATGCTGTGGATTTTACACTCGGTGGGAATTTATGCCCAAATCAGCGCGAATTTGGCGGTGGACAACCACGTATCTGGAAACGGTAGGCGTGAGGAACGGGAACTAATGAAACGGCATTGAGTGTGTGGATGTGTCTCAAATGAGCTGCCCACCGAGATTGCGTTTCTGGGCATCATATGCGCGAACTGATTCAGAACGCAAATATATCCTGTCTGGATAGACAGCTTAGGAAGTTTTGAGCTTCTGTTGTTGATTTTAACTCAACATTTATTAATAGCCTAGAGCTTAAAACCATTGTTTTTGAAAGTTTCTTATAAACTGCTGATATAAAGTTTCTTAGGAAAGAAAATGTTTTATGATAGATAGATGATATTAGCTGAAATAAGTCATGAAGAAGTTTAAAGTCAAACCAAATTAAAACATATGACATAGACTGGGGCAAATTGTCAAAGATATCACAGTAACTATAAAGGATTATTATTGATTTAAAATTCCAATTAGCCCAAATTGACTTTTTCTAGCAGTGCTTTGTTTGTTTGATGGTAACATCTAGTTAAAGCTGCCTTCAATAGAATATTTTTTTGTAAATCATCTCCTCAAAACTAAAATCACATTATTGTAATTTTTGTATGAGTAGCAAATTAATAAACCCACGCTGCCATTCATGAAGATGAGTCAACTACTGTAAATGAAAGTTTGATCTGTGCTCTCATGACAGTTTTGAGTATTTTCTGAGACAGACAGTTATGATTTTTTTTTTTCAAATGTCAAGTAGCCACTGGTTTCAAAGTAATACGTTTTTTTAAATATATATATATATATATATATATATATATATATATATATATATATATATATATATATATATTCAGTGTTAAAAACAATGGTTAAATATTTTTGTGTTTTCTTTTACATTTTTGCTGTTTTGTGTTTCATAATTGTTTTGTACAATGCATGTTAATGAACATTTTTAAAATACAAAATGTAAACAAGCCGGATTAAAGCAACTTTGCTAATTTACATCCACATGTTTAACTGTTTATATTTAAATAAAACGCTTCAATTAATGGCAGGGTCCATTGGCAACATACATCAACAGTGGAAACGACAAATATTCAACCTATATTTTCGTCTATAATTTCAAACAGACATAAACAGAATTAAGAACCATTCATTATGTCTTTAGTCAAATTTAATCCAGACATAACTGAATTGCAGTCCTGCAAGGAAGTAAGCAGCTGGACAGAAAATAAAGTGTAAGATTTAGGGTTTTCCATGTTCTTCTTCTCCGAGCCTCATGGGAATTCCTCTGACACTAATGTTGTGACATGATGGGCATGAGCATCAGTTTTCCTTTTTCCGAAAGCTAGTGTCTTGACATTGAACAGATGCTTAAAGTCCCCATGAAATCAAATTGACGTTTTTGGCTTTTAGTATGAATATGTTAGCTTTATTGTTATCTATAAGCTAGTGTGCTCCAAAACAATGACAAAATTCACATTTAGAAGATAATTAAAAATGTACAATCTCTCCCTGCCGCCAAAATGGAGCAATGATTTTGATGACATCACTCTGCACTTCAGCTTCTCATCCGATTTTCTGTCCAATCAAATGCTCTCTAGAATCTGAAGCTCCATCCCCTACATTATAAATAGACGCTGAAGCTGTGGCTGAAATCACTTTTTCACACATTTTCATTTTTGAAAGGCACATAGTGCACTATATAGGGGATAAGGAACGATTCAGACAGTGTAAATATGCTTTCCATTGGGGCGTATACAGTCTGGTATCATGTGATCAAGTCGCCACAGACCAGAAAACGTATCGGACCCGAGTGAATTCTGCACAGAATACTATATTTTAAAGCGATATGGAGGAGAAACAGTTCGAGAATTTTTGAGCTGTTCATCTGTCTTTGATCAATATGAATGAGCGGATTATTGATCGGCTAATGGCTACCTTGAATCTCTCAGGTTAGATTACCAGCCTCTCCACTGGGAGTCAATTAAAAGTTAAAGTTAGTCCTCAAATCTATCGTCCTGTGTTTCAGTGCACAAGCTGAGTGAACGATCTGATAACTTCTGTGAAAATTCACTCTCATGTTCTGCTTTAAGGAAGTAACTGTAGCAGACTGACACCACAAAACATCACAGAATTCATCAAATCGGTTGACCTTACTTCAAAAAATATTTTCTGTATGATGATGTCCTTTTGAAACTGGCTTTTGTTAGTTACATAGATTTTCCATCATGTTAGCCTTCTGTAAAGCTATATTGAGTATATTGAAAAACATAAGGTGACTAACATTTCAACCATTTTAAAGCTCCAGTCCGTAGCTTTTCCTCTTTGTCGCCATCTCTCTGTTCGAAATCTGTAACTGCAGTGATTCGCGGAATTATCATCTTTACGTGGGTTGTAAATCGGCATGAAACAGCGCGGATGAACACAGTATTTTGAGGCGAGTGCTGCTGTCAGTCACCGCGCTGTGTGGATATACTGTCATACAGAATCACAGATTCACTTTTTGAAAGTTTGACCAACATAAGAATTTTCATAAGAAAATGTCTTCTGAACAAGTAAGTAAAATCCATTTTTGTTCTGACCAACTAAGGGGGGAAAAGCATTCGACATGATAAGCTTCGTTAGATTTAATCAACGCGATTTACAGCAACCGTGCAAATTATAGCCTACTTTGTTCTCAAATTGTTCATGTTAACAACATCAGCATAGCGTGACTAATGTTAAATTTAATGCGTTTTATGGTTACCTGTGTAGTTCAGAATTCATATTCTCCATAATAGCAAAACGAGAAAGGCACAACAAAGGAAACTCCATAACTGTGTGAATTAAGAAAACGTACTGTTACACGATTGAACTATTGAAATGTCTTAACTTACTTGTTCAGCAGAAAAAAGCCGTCTCTTCTTCCGTTTTGAACCCCTTCAAAACACGGAGTTCACGCACTTTTCAAAAGCCCCGCCAATGTTTAAATCCTTGTGTTCGCATGAGACGGTTTCTTTCTCTTTCTCTAGCCACCTTAAATCCGAAGTACAAAGTCTTTTGGGTTTTATAACTGCTGAATCTCCAGTTGACACTGATGATTGTTGTTTGGATCTTTCTGGATGCCATAAGTTTAATTATGTAAAGTGCTGCGAGAAAAGCCTATACATCTAAACATCTCGTCACGCGCAGTATAGCCGGCTAGCCGAAACTCCTTCTTTATGTGTACGGGTGTGACGTAATGACGCAAAGACATGCTCGAATTTCCCGCGGAAACCCACCAGTACCACTGGAATTAAAATCATTATTACAAGCGAACCGTTTTGAATCTAGCTATGGCAAGCAGATAGTTTTGACCACTGGCAGAATACGTTTTTTTTTAATATAATTATTTTGGATTATTTTTTACTTAAAAAATTTACGGACAGCAGCTTTAATTAGAGAAAGAAAAAATGAAGGAATATATCTGAATAAATGGTCAGTTCTCTTACGAGAGGTTCTCTCGTATTGCGTAAGTTTAGCTTACGCTACGGGAAAGATTCATCTTCTCGAGATATTGAAGCCAAAAAATTTTCCTTAATTTTGTATTCATTGTCAACGCAGTGCAGCAGCTAGCAGACCTAGAGCAGGACATCTCGCGTGCTCATTGGCTGCCCTGCTGGCATCTGCTGCAGCCTACCAGTGAGCCCCGCGTGACGTCACGCCCAATGAAGGGCGCTCGCGCCTTCATAGCGTCACAGCCCGCCAGAATGGGCGTGGCTTAGCGTATAAAAGAAGGGGCTGTAGGCTGACTTCCCTGATTTTTCGACTCTTCAGCGAGCTCTCCGCATCGCTGGATCAGAGAGAAACCCCCTCTTTTTCTCAAACATTTTCCAGCTCCTCCTAGTTCGAGCGGCTGGTAATGTCTATACTGCAGTAGAGAGCCTGTTATAACACGCACGCCTGCAGACAATGCCGACACGCACACGAAAACTGTGATGACGCTCTCTCTCTTATCTGCTCGCGCCAACTAAAGCTTACGATGTTTCCCCTGTGGCTCAGGGGCTAAACCTTAAGCTTTTGCCCCGGAGACCCGTGTTCGATTCCGGCTCCCGCAGCAGATAAAATTTATGCGGCTCTCCTCAGCGAGCCGCCGTATTCAAGTTTATTTCCCTGTCAGTCCCCTTCAATCAGGCTACTGCAGTGGTCCATTTAGCAGCCAACGAGCCGGCTCATTTGCCCTCTCGCCTGCACACATACGCCGTTTTCACGGCGACCCAGAGAAAATCTCAAAAGAGTATAATGTCTGGTCCGGCTCACGCCGTTGGTGTTTTAAGTGTAGTGAAAGTGCCCACGCCCCAGTGTTCACCCCTACACACAAGCACATCAAATCTCGTGTCACTCACAGAGCACACTCTCATAAAGCGCAGAAAGGCCGCTCGAGTGTTGAATATAAGGAATGTGTCCACAGGTCTGTGCCCACTATCTGCCCGCTCTGTTACACGGTCAATAAAACAGGTTATGAATGTAAGTCTCGTGCCCGCCGGAGAGCGTTCACGCTTACTGACACACACCTCCCCCCGGGCGCCGCCCGCGCGTTTAAATGTTATCACAAAACGCAGGGCATTGATAAGACGCTCCCCATCCGTTATGATCGGGGCGTCAATTACACTTGTAAGTCTCGTGCCCGCGCACACGCGCTCACGCTTACAGAAAGCTTTTCCACCCAAAGCGCTGCTTGCGCGTCAAAAAGTGAGAATAAAATGCTCCCCATCCCTTATGATTGGGACACCTCACATAAATCAGACGGTCTCGGCTTTCAGCGAGAAGCCATTGCCCAGAACCGAGAGCGCGCGCGCCGCGCTTTCGGCTCCGGCTCAGTTTCACAAGCCCGCAAATGGCAGCGATCTGAACCCGTAGGCCATTCGCCCCCTAGCGGCTCACATAGCTGCGTGGGAAACTATCCCAGGGATTTCAGAATGGGTTCTGAGCACAATAAGCAGGGCTATACACTTCAATTCATTCGCCGTCCCCAGCGCTTTCGAGCCCGGACCGCGACGATAGTGAATGCGGAAGTAGCACACCTACTTCACGCAGAAATAG